ATATATATTCTTTGAAGAGCAGTATTTTTAAAAAAAATTAATTAACTACAAGGCTACAAAGATTTATAATCAATTAAAAGTATTAATGAACAAAATAGAATAAAAATTATTAAATTAGATTCAAATGATGTTTTAAATCTTGCCTCAATTATTAACATCTTATTGCTGCGTGATTAGGGTTGTCAAAACGACTCTTTGTTCGTGAACGGCTCGATAAGTAAACGAGCCGAACACAAATACATTTTTTGAGCTCGAAATATAAACAAGCCAAACATGAGTTGAGCCTGGGCTCTTGCTCGTGTTCGGATCATTTACATCCCAATTTACGAGGCAAGTGAACAAATAAAAACTGACCCATTTAAATAAGAAATTCATGCGTTCAATTTTCAAGATTGATAATTAATATTTCAGAAACAAACAAAACGTTGGTTTCTGTAATTAATTTAATTGTCAGAAATTTTACAATTAAATCTCAAATATATTATTTATTTACTAATAATAAAAGTCCAGAAAAAACAGAGTACTGTCGGTGGATCTTAAAGACTGCACGGGAACAAACCTAGTACAGATTGCAGGGAAGAAGCCGGTTCACGGAACCACAGCTCTTTTAGGGATAGTTACATATAGGCCCCTCAAAATATTGATACTTACAATACCTATTGTATTTACACATCTCATGACTAAACTACTGAGAATTTGATAAAAAAAAAAAAAATTAGTTTAAGAAATTTAAAAATGGATGAAAGAGGAGGGTTGATTTATAAATAACAAGTTTCGAGTGGTTCAAATGAACTTAGGGTCAGTTTGGGGCAGTTTATTTGGTGCGGTGACGATGTTTTGAAACGCACCTGACATGTTTGGGTAAACTACGTTTTGACAGCTTATGTGTTTTCAAAACGCTGAAAACACACCGCATGACAACTTTCTCGTAGCTGTTTGGCTTTTCAAAAAGAATAAAAATTTGTAATAATCACCGCATCTAGCTTATCAGCACATTATTCAATAAATTGCGGCTGCCCCAAACAGACCCTTGGTTAGAATGATTTACATATATATCACTGTTCTTATATATCTACATATCCGACATCTAAATTTTAATTTTTACAAATCCAAAATCTTAATTATGTATGAAAATATGTATTGTAATTTTGAAATCTTAACA